GGCCCATTTTTGGGGCTGTGGGCTTGCATGCCTTTTGCCATTCCTTTCTGCGTTCCCTGCATGTCGAACCACCATCTTGGCACCAACACAAGAAACATGAATGAAAGATGCAAGCTGTCGCAGCTCAACGCACTCTTTGCAGAAGGCAAAGCGGTTGCAAAGCGCATGCGCCCGAAATTGGAGCCGCAAATTTGGAAGCCGGGCTACTAATATTGATGCATTGTGACCACATTTTTGGGTCCAGAATCTTGCCCTTGTTTTGGGGCCACAAAACACAAACAGGAGCTATTGAATAGGGACAGCAAGTATGCTCCTGCCAGAACATATCCGTGATACTGTGTGTGTATATATATATGTGTGTGTGTGTATGTGCGACTGTATGCATATCCAGCCACTGTCAGTTGCATTGGCAAAGCTGCTTAAGTTGATGCAGCCAGGACAGAGAATGGGTGTGGGCGCGCTACGGCACCACGTATCGAGCCATGTACACCCTGTATGAATCTTGGCGCAACACGGAAGATTAGTGTTTATTTTCCTTGTGGGAAACCCATCGAAATCCACCACTTGCTTAGGAATCTATACGTGAGTATGCTGCAATATGCTGTAATGATATGTAATGATGGGAGTTTATATCCCAATTTATGGTGATATGACGATGACTATACCCTTTCATAACCCCAACTAGGCCCGTAGCAAATGCGGCGTTCCTCAGGAAATCACTTTCGCAGGTGCTCCGAATCGACGGGCAAAAACTTGGTCTTCCAACGCCAGTTGGACACGAGTTCATCAAGCTGAATACTGTGGTACCAATTTCAGATCTATAATTTGTTTGTATCCACACATATGTATAATATATATATATTTACACAATATGTTTATTATGTATATATATATACATATTACATATACACAAGGCTGCGTTAGACCATGTTTGATTGATCTCGGGCTAGTTCGTGGTTTCAAGCTGCCAGCAACGTGTGGTGAAGCCGCCCATAAACTGTTTCAATATTGATTTGGGCCTCGCAGAAATGCCCAGGTTGTAGCACTCTCAGGATAGTGCATCCTATCCATCAATGAAGCCTTTTTTTTCTGTCCATGTTTCGTTGGTAGGACTGCCAAACTGCTTGGATTCGTAAATCATTAAAGCATATCATTTACAACGTCCATCACCCATGCTACTCCGTTTTGGACAATGTGAATATTAATGGTTGAAATTCAAAATACCACTTGAACAGTAAGCAAGTGATCGCTGTTGATTGTTATATTAACTTTTTTTACGGCATGTTACACAGGTTTGAGATTTCAATGGTCCACGTTTGTGCCCCATTCCATCCCGTTCCCAACACTTTCAGCGAACCAGTGAAACGAAAACAACAAAAACAATGGTCACATTATATGTGTTGGTTATTGGTAGTCTATATGTGTTTGCATTGTTTATGATTCATGATGTCGTGCTCTTGTTCTTTGTGTGTGTGTATCTATTGTGGATCTTCCCAAAACATTCCCCCTCTTTTCGGATGCGGCAGGTAATTGGCCCACGAACGCGCGACCTGTCCCTTGGATTTGTTGATCAGGTCGCATCAGCTCGCCAAACCCAACAAATGCAGGTTGATCACATCCATTTCATTCAAAACATGTCCTAAGTATCCATTAGTATACATTTCTATTTGCTTGTTGCTTAGCATGGTTACCAGTTCAATGACACAACATTTGTGATTTCACACGTTTTTAACATCAAACATTGCCACATGATGTGGCTACCTGAAGCCCAGGTTTTAGACAAGGTCAGCCAGATGTTCGTGATCTTTTATTTGTGCCTTGGCATTTCGGGTTTGCCCATTGGGAGGGCATGTGCCCAGTACCAATCTCACACGTGAAAACATATTATCCCATCTCTAGAACATTATTTCAAACATACTGGTGTGGGCCCGCAAAGTGAACAAATCAGAAAAGAGGCAATACTAAACCATGGTCTCCAAGTGAGCATTTATTGTTGTGGGATGGACCTATATAACCCAATTATAAAACCCCAGATTCTTGTAATTTCTTGTAGATACATAGACATGAACCCGCAAGAAGTGTACCATTCGCCTGGCTGAAATAAGCCCTGGGAATGGCGATTTTTTTGGGGGGAGTAGTCTTCCACCCCCTGTTTGGCAGGTTCCACGTCTGTCCGGTGAATCGGTATGCATATATCATATATATATATATGTATGTTTTTTTTTTAAGTGTGTGTGTGTGTGTTTTATTTGTTTATCTAAATTAACCAAGAACGATATCCAACTGGGATGAATTCTACAGACTGAAAGTGTTTTTCTCCGAAAACCGGGTACAACAGAAATCCTACGGTTCATCATCGTTTCGCACTATCATGATCTATCATGTGTATAAATGTGTATAAGATGTTTATTATTTATTTATACATACATATGCATATGATTACTTCTATTTGTAGCAACATTTGGGTTATCCCTCTTTTTCATATGATTTGAGGCTCTATGTAACAATCATCGTCTTCGCGGTCATCCGTGTGATTTCGGCCATTTTTCTCAAGGCACGGTGGCGTTGATGACGTCATTTTGATCATTTATCGTCCTCAGCCCGTGCAGTTTCTATCCAAAACACGGGTTTCTCAGAAGTCAGCTTATGTCACTTGTTTACCTTCTGCACAGGGTTCATGCACTGTCGGCATCCTTTCTGTATTTCTATGGGCCATCTGCATAATATATCCATAGCAAACTGTTGAATAGCCGGTACGGCATGGAAATTTCGAGAATATACGTTAAGAGGTAGACAAAAGAACGAAATGACCGTTGAGAGGTACACGCTGTATCTGTATTGTGCCATCCCCAGCCTTGGATAGGGGTAGTTTAATCGTTTAGTCTTTTGCTATAAAATGCTCTAAATGGAGAATCTAATCATTGCACATGTTTGGTGAAGTTTGCTTACCAGATAGTGCGTGGCCTGCGCCGGGGCGGAAGTTTCGAAAATAGGAGATGGCTATAAGAAATCAATAAATAGCCTATAGGAACGTTTTGGAGATGCAGAAGCCATGAGCGGTTGAAGTTGTGAGCTGCACCATCGAATGAGGAAATGGTGGCTGAGATGCCAATGAAGGGACATGAAAGAATACGTGCACGACTGAGTGAGTTAACCAATAAACCAACGAATCGATGAAACAGTGAGTCAATCTACTTATTGAATCAACGAATCAAAGAAGCAGCGAAACAATGACTCAATGAAGCAACCAACCAGTGAACCAATGAAAAATCAGTGAATCAATAAATCAGTGCAACAATGAGTCAATGAATCATTCAATCATTGAATCAGAGATTCTAAGACACAGTGAGCTTGTGATTCAGTGAATCAATGAATGAAGGAAGCAATGCACGAGTGAAATAGTTAATCAGTGAATCGATGAATCAAAGAGCCAGTGAACCAATGACCAATGAATCACTGAGTCAATGACTAATGAATCACTGATTCAGTGAACCAGTGGATCAATGGATCAATGAACCAATCAGTGAATCCATGAATCAATGAACCCATGAATGAAGGTATGGGTGGATAGATGGATGGGTGGGTTGGTGGGTGGGTGGGTGGATGGATGAACAGATGGATGGCCAGCTACATTTCTTTGTTGAGCTACTTCTTCACTGAGCGACCTCTTTGCTTATGCACCTCTTCTCTCAGCTACTTCTTCTCTAAGCAGCCCCTTATCCGGGCTACTTCTGCTCTGAGCTGCCGCCCAGCTGGCTCACTTTTGTAGCTCCTGCAGCCCAAGTCTTTTCTCCCCGCAGCTGATAAAATGCGTTTAGCAGCCTCCAGCTGCAATCCTGCATCGCACAAGAGTAGCACTATGGTCAAAAACTACTGTGCCCGCATCCATGCGTTTTCTCACAGCCGGTTGCCTTAGTTCTTTTAACATGCATATCAAGCCTTCGCCACAGTCCTGTGCACTTTTTGCCGGAAATTTTTGCAGATCGAGGCCCGAAACCGCAAAACAGAGACCCTATACTTCGGCGACCCCAGAAGCCACGTTACCCGAAAAAACAAGGTTTTACTTGATGATGGATGGTTAACATGATGGTGTGGTTGACACGGTGGTGGAAATGCCGACCATGACAACCGTCCATAATTCGGAAGTTTCTAGCTAATTTTCCTTTGATAAGTTGTTTATTGATTTTTCACCGGTCTGCAGGAGGAAAACAAAAAAGGCAGACCCACCAGAGGTGGAAATCCGACAGAAGGATCGGGCCGTGGCAGGACACATTGGACGAGGCGAACAACGATGCCCAGCAGTTGGTTCCTGGGCGAATCGTAGTGCCGAGATTGGTTGGTGGTCATATTACTATACAATATCTTTTGTGGGACTACAATATCCGGGTAGAGCTTCGAACATGTTTGTAAGGGTTACTGCAAGACACAACCTCACTTCAGCTTGGTGAAGTGCAAATCATCGATATTCGTGCAAACGAAAATGCCAACACTGCCAGCATTTTGAGGATTGCTAAAGGCCACATTTTGCATGAAACCCTTATACAATACTTTGTGTTGCGCAGCTTTTCTATCCAAACCAACACCTAAGCATCAAAAAACCATAGAACGGTCGGTCGCATCGTTCAAACTGCAGCAGCTGATGTTCGGCCTTCAGCCAGCAATCAGGTCTTGGACAGGATGCGCAAGAAGGCGGAATATGTGGAAACTTGGCCAGTTTATTCCATCCCGCTGCGGTTGGATGATGGTGAACTGGAGAAAAAACTGGTGGATTTATATAGTCCGAAATAACTGACGTGGTTTGTTGGCGATTCTAGGCGGTCGAGAGAAAATCTGATAGTGGATGATCAGTTTCCATTTGAATGTTGCCATTTTGGGGTACCCTTTTTGACAAATCAAAATATGATCTATTTGACTGCTGGGAACATGAGGTCCATCCGGGAACTTGACGAAGAGAACACTTTGAGGAACCCTTTTGTTCGAAGGTAACAAAACATGCAAAAAAACAACAACAAATGAATAAGGTTCCCTTCAATTTTTTGACCTGGAATTGTTTGTTGCTTGGTGCCTCTTGACTTCTACATCGGTTCATCCACGGGGACAGGATTTTACCGTATTGGATTGTTCCCCACCTGCCAGGTGAGGGTTGTTAGATTTTATCAGAGCTGTCCTTCTCCTCCTTCTCCTCCTCCGCCTCCTCCTCTTCTCTCTCCTCCTCTCCTCCTCCTCCGCCTTGCCAACTCGTCGCCAATCTCTTCGCCAACTTCCGCGCGCAGTGGGCACTGCTGGACCTCAACTGCCGGCTTCCGATCTGAGTGGGCACGGCTGGACCTCAACCGCCAGGTTCTGATCGCAGTGGGCACCGCTGGACCTCAACCTGGGAGAGCTCTTCACCAACTTCCGTGCGCAGTGGGCACTGCTGGACCTCAACTGCCGGCTACCCAGTGGGCACCACTGGACCCCAACCGGGGACCTTCCGAGCCCAGTGGGCACCACTGGACCCCAACCGGGGACCTTCAGAGCTCAGTGGGCACCGCTGGACCTCAACCTGGGACCTTCCGAGCTCAGTGGGCACCGCTGGACCTCAACGGCCAGATAGAATGCCAGACGATATGCCAGATAGAACGCCAGATACTGTAGAATGTCAGATAGAATGCCAGGAGGTATGCCAGATAAAGTGCCAGAATGTTTGCCAGATTTTGCCAGATAGAACGCCAGAAGATTTGCCAGATAGAATGTCAGAAGATATGCCAGAAGATATGTCAGAGAGAGAGTGCCAGAAGATATGTCATGGTGGGGATCACTCGAAGTAAAGTAATTTTGTTTTTAACCTTCATAAAGATGAAAACAACATCAACAAAGGACAAAGGATCGTTTCTGCATCTGGCTCCCTGTTTCAAACATGTTTCATGAATCCATTGGTTGGGACCATATCGCAGTGCTCCACGCCGGGCATCCCCAGAACCATAGGTGTTTTAAGACTAAAATGGTCTCATGTGGATGAGTTGGGGGGTACCCCCTTTTTGGGAAAATCCATGAACATTCCATATATCCACTATATACATTTTTAGATTTTATATTTTATATTATATATATATATAAATGCACATATAATATGTCACAATTTCGGTAGCATTGTCCCTGGAAAACTTCTGGCGGCATGTTGACTTCCTTGGATCCCGCCAGGAACGCTTGGAAACCACCTTCCATTCCATTGCCTCTGGGCTCGGGAGATGGGGGATGCAGTTCCAGTTACAAGTGGACGCGTTGAACCGGGAGTTTGATCGCTTTGATTGGATGCTTTAGCTTTGTTTTATTTTGTAGTGTCCTAGTCTGGCATTTGTTTGGATGATTTGCCTAGTTGAGACATGTTGAGACATTTTGAGACCACCAACACAGTTGAAACTTGAAACCTTGGGTTGATCTGTTTAAAAGTGGAAGATCGCCATCAGATGTGCACTGGGGGGGGGTGCTCTTGTTCATTAAGGGTAGGGTAGGATAGCTCTCGTGACACCAGCTGTTTCTGTGTTTGCCTCATCATCCATTCTCATATATGTGTTTTTCGGACCAGAGCACACATTTTACGGCGGAACTTCATTACCCTGGGGTCAACTAACATAGAGGTGGACACACCACCATTTGTAGATCGTTTTCCTGTGTTTTTTCATGGTTGTTCCACATCTATGTTACTGCAGTGGCACTATCCACGTGACCCTCGGGTAAACTAATCTAGCTATGGTATAGATGGCCCATTGATCGATGATTTACCCGCTTACAATGTTCATTTTTTATAAATATGTCAGTTTACTGAAGGGTATTGCTGCTAAGAAGCCAAGCTTCTTGTTACCCTCTGGTAGTTTGTTACATAGCTATTGAAAATGACCATAGAAATAGTGGATTTACCCATTGAAAATGGTGGATCTTTCCATAGTTATGTAAACGTTTACCAGAGGCTAAAGATTCCACCTTCCATGTAAAACGCATACCTTCGCCGCCACCATCAGCCGCGTGTCTGAGGACAATTCTGAAGATGGAGTCCTCACTGAATCGCGACTCACAGAGATCTTGGCCAATCCGACGCTGGCCGCCAGTACCCGACACACACGATTCTCTTTGTAGGTTGGTTTATCGGTTAACCTGGCTTTATGGCTAGATATATCTATTACATAGACTAATATAGACTAGACTATTATTTTATTACATTATATAGGCTATAATATTTATATATATATATATTGGGTTTATAGATCAACTTGTAACTGGGACGCCGCATGCCTGCTGGATACCACTCTGTAGTGGCCTTCAGGGATCGTGGGTATCGCACGGTGGAAATTGGGATCTCGCTATTCTGTTTTTCCCGGCCGTGACGATGGAAAGTTTCGGCCAACTGATGGTCAACCAGCACTTTTTAAAAAATACAGCTGTGGCGTATTATATATATATATCTATCTATATATATCTATATATATATATAGTTTTTTTTTGGGGGGGGTGTCGGACGCCACCAGGTCCCCCAAAATACGTGGTTTTAAGCGTTTTTCTGACTATTTTATGCTTCTTTTTCCTCTTTTGATCATATATGAAAGATCAAAGTTCTGGGGAGATGTACTGTTTTTGGTTTGTTAATCCTTAGCTCTATTCTTGGTTGCTTGCTTTTTGTCACTCTATTGTTTTTTGATAGGTGGTCTTAGTGCATGAATGGCAAAGTTCTTTGCCCAACAACATCTTGAAACATAGAGATTCATTGTGTCAGTTGGTACTTCATGTATGTATTAATGTATAGGTACCACCTAAGTATACAGCTATTGCAAAGACGGTATATATATACATATACATAGCACTTTGTATTTGCATTGGTGGTTTTTTATATTGGACTGCCAGGTCGCCTTTTGGTTGACATCATAGTTCCAGTGGAACTCTTTTAGCAAACGAAAGTGCAAATTCCAATCTACTGTCCCTCCTCAAGTAGTTGCATTTTTTTTGCATACTTCATGGTAACTTGCTGCATCAATGAAAAACAAGGCAGCCATTCTATAGATACAGTTGTTTGGTAAGGTTGCTTAAGTGTTTCCTTTACTTGGTCTTGCGCCCTTCCGGTTACCATGATGAACTTATACTGGCATAGTTTAAGTTTTGCCCACAGCCATGAGTACATTTATGGTAATAAAATGTTTGCCGTTATATTTGCAGTGACACAGCAAATTACCATGGAATATGCAGGTTAAAACGCCTTTTCTGAAGCAAGGGGGAATTGGAAGCGCCCCTGGAATTTGCCAACTCTTGTGATCAATCAATATTTTAAGCAAAGATCTGCTACTGCATTGAAACCTGGAAGAATACCATTGCATATGCAGGAAAAATCTAGAACACTTGTGCCTGTAAGGGCATAGGTGACTTATATGCCACCCATTCCAGAACTGTATGTACCATATAAGAAAATGTATACATAAAATAGTTGCATTCTAAGTGCATATGCAGCTTGGATGTGTTGACACAGCAAATGGCTATGGTATCTGCAAAAAAAAACATGTTGCTTTTATCACAAAATGCCTTCTAGATATCAGTGCATGTTCGAAGCTGCCATTTCTACTGTATATATATATATACTGATACTGCACATTTGCGACAATACGCTTGCATACTGGTTGAAACCATTCACCCACTAAAGCACAAACAACCCCTGAAACTTTTCATGCAGTTTACAGATCAAAGAACTAAGAACAAGAGTGAGTATTGATCAAAAGGATGGAGAAGGGACCCCTTTCCATATGAATGCATTCTGGGAGCTGCTACTTCCTAGTCCCAAGTGTTATGTCATAGCTGTTTTCTGTCAAGTTTTATAAACAGTCTTACCTCCTTTTAGGTGTTACTCATCCTGTCATAAAAGATCATAAAAGCATATATATATATAAATTAAATAGTGCCTGGAGCTTCCAAATACTGGATTTTTGAACTCCAAACCCAAAAAAGATCGATTTTGGGGGTTGGTGTGGAAAAAAGAACACTAGAGTGGTTTTTGCCGTTCCTGACATTTCGGACGTTCTGGAGTGGAAAAAAAGCGTTCAAAAAGCGTTCAAAAAGCATTCAAAAAGCGTTGAAAAAGCGTTAAAAAAGCGGTCAAAACCGTTCGGAAGCGTTCTGGAGTTAAAAAAAAAGTTCTGGAGTGGAAATAACCGTTCAGGAGTTCTTTTTTGTCTTGAATTTGGCAAAATTGATCGATTTTGTCTTTGGTGTGGAAATTTCCACGATCAAGAGGATCCAGGTATATATAATACATATATATTTTTATTTATTTATTTATTTATTTAATTACATTATGTTATATAAATATATTTATGTATAACTTATACATGCGTATGTGTTTTATGTGTTCTTTTTATTTTTGGTTTGTTGCGCTAGCAGGCATGGAGTTTGGAGCCCAGACAGGGATGTTTACATAATTGCTGGCTACCGATAAGCCATCCAAAATCAAAAAAATAGTTGCGTCTCAGGTTGGTATTGGCCAGTTCCTAAACATTTTTTTTGGCGTTTTTTTGCTCGAGCTTCTTTTTCTGGGTTTCTTTGGGGGCCTAAAGCGTTGCCCCTTTCCGTTTGCACAACCTCGCCAGCAGAAAGACTGAGGAAAGTGAAAGCGTATTTCGCGACCCTCGAGATTGACGTGCCTCGGCTCGTAGGTGCCTGGGGCAGCCCGCGGGGTAGACCAAGTAGGAGCCGAACCCCTGACCATCAACACGCAGCCGGTAGAGGACCCGCTGCGCCAGCAGCACCGCTGAGGTGCAAGAGGGCGCTGCCTTGTTCCACTTGTTAGACAACGGGGATGGAGAGGCCGGTTTAGCATTCGCAGCGGTGATAATGCTATCGGCTTTGCTGGCGCTCCTCCCTTTTGGCAATGGTTTTATGGTGCTCCGCCCCTTTTCTTAATGTTTAACGTGTTTTTCCTCTTTTAACGCAACTGCACGTTATACCAGTTTTTGGTCATCCCGCACAAAAGCGCACTTGTTCTTCGGCAAGTGGGAGGGGTAGAATGATAGCAACATCCTCACTGCGACCTCACTGGAATCATGGTTAATAAGGGAAATTATCCAAAATGGCCTTATCTCATCTTGGTGAATTATTATAATTTGCCCAGCAACATGTGATGCAACGCCGCCGCGAGGTCACGTTAGACGAGTTCATTTCCGGGGTGATGCGTTGTGACCAGGATGCAGTGAAAACGAATGAGCCATGCTCGTGACGAGGGTTTTTTTGAGGAGTGTCAGACCATGCAGCCCACATGCAGATAGCAAAAGCGTACAAAAGCAGTCAATAAATCAATTGATCGAAAAAATGCGTTCACTTGTTGACTTCGGGTTGTCGCTGACGGCACACTTGCTTGCGATCGTAGATGGTTTCTTGACATCAATGGTCACCTGGTCCTGCCTTGACAGACTGTGTAAAAAAAATCCTCAAAAGATGCCGTTGCAAATTCATCCAAAACTGCTACAATGAATTGCTGATTTCCATTTGGTTAGTTTGTTTTTTTTTCACGGTGTTTCGATCGACAAACGAACCGAAGCCAGACTGTTTATTTCTTTGTGATTTTTGGAATGCTCCATCTTGCATCCATGTAAGCGTGATTGGCTTGATGGCAAATTTGTTGCCACGCATATTTACGAATGACATCAAAAGACTCGTTAATTGGTACTTATTCCCCCGACCCATTTAACCACACGTTCGAAACGAAACATGAACAGAATTGTGCGTTGGTCACGCTCCTCTTGAAACCCTGCAATTTTGTTTCAAATTAGGGAATTGGGTTGATCATAATCTGGAGTAAAGGTAACAGATCCCTTTCGTAGAAACCACTTTAGAAGACTTTAGAACCCTTTGCGAACCCACGTGTTTTTCCCTTTAAAACGTTCATGCTCAATCCAGTGTCCCAATAATTAATTATTGGGTTAGGTGGGTTTCCACCAGCATCCAGAACAGGTACCTACGTCAACCAATCCACAGCTGGTAAACCTCATTTCTTCAAGTTTACTGTACTTCTCCCATAAAAGATATGTCCAAAAAACATGAGGCCACACATCACGGTGTTTTTTTTCGTACCTGCATACGATGTGCCGCAGCAGCTGTGTTACCTTGGCCCTGAGGTAAGGGCCCGGCAAAGGCCATCGACACCTTTGCCCTGCAACGGGACTTGGGAAAATTAGACCACAAGGCGCCGCGGTGTGTCGTGATTGAAGGCTTTGCTATGTAAAATGTACTGGTTTTGATGGGTAAAGCATCATATGTTTATCAAATGAAACATTTCCATAGCTATATATTAAATAACATTAATTAATAGATTGGCCAACCAGCATGAAATATGTTGGGATTGGCAGAGGGGATGGCGAAGGGGTATTTGCCATTGAACCGCACGGATATGCGACCGTATACGGTGATATGTATGGACATGTATGGATCTGTAACCAAGAGTCAAGGGGATATATGAATATGGGTTTTCCCCCGGTGCCTCATGAGATCTCATGAGGCACCTGGTGTTTTTAATGGTGAGACCAATTGTTTTTGAGGCCCTAGGGTTTCGAAAGACCCGAGTTTTTGGGACTCCAAATCGCCTCAGAAGAAAGTCGTTGATGATTCTTGACTTCCACACGTTTTTTTTTTCAGACCAGTTGAAATTGTTTCTTGTTGCTGGTTCCCTTCAGACAGATTCCAAGTTTGGGAGATGGGAATCATATTTGTGCACATGAAGAATCACAGTATTCCCCGACTTAAAATGGGGAACCATAAGCATATATAGTCGAGGAACCATGAGTATAGTATAGGGGTCGACTGTATATGATTAGCAGAGATACCTTAACTTGCGATTCTTTCCAAAAAGTAGCGAACTTTGGTGCTTTTCGGGGTGATCATAGAACACAATATGGTATGTATCACTTTTCTGCAGTGTCATGAAGGACATAGTTGGGTTTGTACCACGATAGGGGGGCGACCTGAAAATTCCAACCCTCCAACCCATTTTCGTAGGCAAACCTCGATGGCCAAGACATTGATCTTCTTGCAGTACTCAATTATATAGTTACTATCACACGTAGGTTAAAAAACAAACGCATCTCCAATTGTCCAACACATCCATTTGGTGATCTGGAGATGGGATAGATACTGGATGTAACTTGACTTGCAACAAATCTAGGGAAAAAATGGTGGAAACTATCGTCTATCTACGGTTGGATTCGGCTTCGCGGACCTAAGCCATGTAGGACCGAAACCATGGGGGTGAAACCCCATTTTCACAAGGGGGTTCACCAATCTCAAACATGGGGTGATGGGATGATGAACCTATGGTTTTGCCATGTCCAATCTATATTTGTTGTGTCCAACCTCTTTGAGTTTGCCATGTCCAGCCTATGATTTTGCCATGTGGATTGCTTGATCTCCCTAATGTTTGTTGTTTACGTACTGCATGTTCATGCAAGATTTCCAACTCAATTGCGGTCTCATGTTGTTTTTTGTTCTGTCTGTAGTAATGTCATTATTTTTGGAAGCTCTCTATAGCCGATCACCCCCCGAACGAGCAAAAGCAAAAAGCACATATCGAACTATGAACTTGCGGCCGTTTCGCTTCACAGGTTGCAGCTCTCCTCAAGAAACTCGAGACGCCAACCTTAGCCCGGAAAACACAGAGCGGTCGGGACACCGGAAAAAACATATGCTGAATAGATTCATGATATATAAAAATTGACTACGGGAAAATGGCTTCCACTTATATAGTCTATTTGTTTCGTGACACTGACAACTAAACCAACCACTAGCCCAGAGTAGGGGATTGATGCATCCTATAGTTTCCACAAATACTTAAAGAAAATAGTAATATATATATAATGTTAAAGTAGGATTAATAAAACAGCACCTATTTGAATAGTTGGTAATTTGTCACTATAATGCCTTACTCAATAGTCATGTTTTCACTTGCAGTTTCGCCACCTAGGTGTTACTGAGACATGCTGAATTTTGGAGACAAACAATTGAATACTGAAAAGGAAATTGTTCTGCATCAAATCTGTTGCGACCTCATGCCGCCACGTCAGTGGTCGCTTAGTGAATCATCTAGTTCATAGAGAACCATAGACCATCCTCAATATAGAATTGGTTGGATTAAAACCCAAAATCGGATTTTCCTGAATGGGCTTACCGTACTCAGTCCTACAACATTGCAATTGGATGCTTGCATTTGGGATAGTAGTGGTTTATGAAATTGCGTCAGAGCGCCCCAGGGGCGCTGAAGGGTAGAGTTTCTGCAAATTCGGAGATGGATCTACCACCGGGGCCTGATCCTATCCGAGGCCACTACCCCTATCATTCCTTTGTGAAGCTGGCCTGTGATTGGGAACCAAGGAGCTGGGGAAAACCCCGAGCGTTGTATAGCGCTTGGTATAGCTGGCAAAATCATCAAAATCAATGGGGGGAATCTCCAGCAAAGCATGTTTGACTAGCGCAGGGTCTGCATTTGTTTCGAATGTGAAGCTAAGAAGTGGAGCCTTTATAGTTCAACTAATTTCAGGGACTCAACAAAGAACTCACGACTAGATCCAATTAACTGTACTTTGCCCAGATGTAATGTGCCAAAGCTAAAACAACATACCAGGGATTTTGGTGTTTTCAAGGGAAAGGGACCAATATTACCACTTGTTTGGTTGAACAAATGGTAGGCAAGTTGGGGCTTCGCTTTGGACTTGCCACGTTTATGGCTTTGAATCAAAATATAGAATCACAGCAAAATGCATCAAAATGCAACAAGTGTTTTTGCAACGATTTACATTGAACCCCACTGATGTTACGTGTCGGGTTTTAAGGCTCATTCTGGGCGAGCATCAAAGAATTTGGCAATTGTGTGTGTGTGGGAAACCCTGAATCAAAGGGTATAAGCAGAGGGCCCGCGGACGCATAGATGGCACGGGCCAACGAAGACCCATCTATGTCGTCGTGAAAACGTACCTGCAAACTCCCATTGTCAGACATGGCAAGGTGGCCAAGCCAAAAACTACCCATGCCGACATGACATGACATGACATGCCATGACACGACATGCTAACGTAATAACATGACATGACATGTATCATTTCATCTCATTTCACCCTCTTCCTTCGGGGTGTATGCAAGTATGTCTTTTCATGTCCCGGATCTCTGATAAAGTGCCGGGGAAGCTTGGTGGTGCGTCCGCCGGGGATACCAGATTACTTCAGAATAAATCCAGACATGATGTTGCCAGAAGAAAAATCCGCACAAGCATCCAGATTTCGCACAAGCATCCAGAATTCTCCATCAGAAGCAGAATATTTCAGAATTCGCCAGATCCATGTTCAGAATTCGCCAGACTTACAGATGTCATCCCTCAGAATTCCCCGTGTCATCCCATGATTCTTAACTAACAGGTTTTACTAGCATGACCTGTAGGTATGGTTCTTACCGCGTGACCTGCAGGTATGACCTATTTTTTTAAGGGTTCTAACATGAACACCATGTGTGATTGAACGCCGCTTTTCAGATGTGACCCGGTAGCCTCGATGATACTAGCTCATTTGCTTGCATTTTTGACAAACATGTTGTAACATGGTAGCCATGAACATTGATCATCATGCCATGTAGATTAATCACATGATTTAGATGGTTTCAATTTGGAGCAATGACCACATTGATGTTTGACATGTTGAATTGCTTGTACGTCCTTGGCTACGACCATACAGCCCGCGATGCCAGCAGCTGATTTGCTTGCACAGTTGATGAGTCCGCCACCACATATATAGCACACAAGCAGCAGTACCTTTTGTACCAGCAGTCTCTCCAACTCCACAACAGCACCAACTTGCCGGACACACTCTACCACAACCAATGCAACCACCGTGTGCCACCGCCGCTTTTGCACAACCTTTCTCTCTCCAACTCAACAACAACACCAGCTTATGGGACACACCGTCCCACAACCAATGCAAGCACCATTTGCCACCTCTGCGTTTACACAACCTCCATCCTTTCACACTTTCAGCGCACCACATTACAACACAGCCATGCCAGGTTTTCAGCCACCTCATCATGTCTTGCTCCTGAAACTGCAAGAGACTACAGTAGCTGTCTTTTTGCTTTTGCCTCAGCTTTCTCCGGCCTTCTTGCTCTTGCTCCTGGCCCTTCGCGCCCTACGGTGCCTAACGTCCGCTTTCTTTCGTTCCTTTTTCCTATCGGTGCCACCGTTCTCGCGTGCTTTTGCTCCTTGCTCTCTTCGTTTCTCTGCTTCTGTCTCTCTCTCTGGCTCTTGCTGTTTGCTCTCATCATGTCTTGCCCCTGGCTGATTGTAATGACGTCGCTCTCTGGAGCTACAAGAAACTGGCATCTTTTTGCTTTTGCCTCAGCTTTCTCCGGCCTTCTTGCTCTTGCTCCTGGCCCTTCGCGCCCTACGGTGCCTAACGTCCGCTTTCTTTCGTTCCTTTTTCCTATCGGTGCCACCGTTCTCGCGTGCTTTTGCTCCTTGCTCTCTTCGTTTCTCTGCTTCTGTCTCTCTCTGGCTCTTGCTGTTTGCTCTCATCATGTCTTGCCCCTGGCTGATTGTAATGACGTCGCTCTCTGGAGCTACAAGAAACTGGCATCTTTTTGCTTTTGCCGCTGCTTTCTCCTGCCTTCTTGCTCTTGCTCCTGGCCCTTCGCGCCCTACGGTGCCTAACGTCCGCTTTCTTTCGTTCCTTTTTCCTATCGGTGCCACCTCGCGTGCTTTTGCTCCTTGCTCTCTTCGTTTCTCTGCTTCTGTCTCTCTCTGGCTCTTGCTGTTTGCTCTCATCATGTCTTGCCCCTGGCTGATTGTAATGACGTCGCTCTCTGGAGCTACAAGAAACTGGCATCTTTTTGCTTTTGCCTCAGCTTTCTCCGGCCTTCTTGCTCTTGCTCCTGGCCCTTCGCGCCCTACGGTGCCTAACGTCCGCTTTCTTTCGTTCCTTTTTCCTATCGGTGCCACCGTTCTCGCGTGCTTTTGCTCCTTGCTCTCTTCGTTTCTCTGCTTCTGTCTCTCTCTGGCTCTTGCTGTTTGCTCTCATCATGTCTTGCCCCTGGCTGATTGTAATGACGTCGCTCTCTGGAGCTACAAGAAACTGGCATCTTTTTGCTTTTGCCTCAGCTTTCTCCGGCCTTCTTGCTCTTGCTCCTGGCCCTTCGCGCCCTACGGTGCCTAACGTCCGCTTTCTTTCGTTCCTTTTTCCTATTGGTGCCACCGTTCTCGCGTGCTTTTGCTCCTTGCTCTCTTCGTTTCTCTGCTTCTGTCTCTCTCTGGCTCTTGCTGTTTGCTCTCATCATGTCTTGCCCCTGGCTGATTGCAATGACGTCGCTCTCTGGAGCTACAAGAAACTGGCATCTTTTTGCTTTTGCCTCAGCTTTCTCCTGCCTTCTTGCTCTTGCTCCTGGCCCTTCGCGCCCTACGGTGCCTAACGTCCGCTTTCTTTCGTTCCTTTTTCCTATCGGTGCCACCGTTCTCGCGTGCTTTTGCTCCTTGCTCTCTTCGTTTCTCTGCTTCTGTCTCTCTCTGGCTCTTGCTGTTTGCTCTCATCATGTCTTGCCCCTGGCTGATTGTAATGACGTCGCTCTCTGGAGCTACAAGAAAATGGCATCTTTTTGCTTTGCCTCAGCTTTCTCCGACCTTTGCTCTTGCTCCTGGCCCTTCGCGCCATACGGTGCCTAACGTCCGCTTTCTTTCGTTCCTTTTTCCTATCGGTGCCACCGTTCTCGCGTGCTTTTGCTCCTTGCTCTCTTCGTTTCTCTGCTTCTGTCTCTCTCTGGCTCTTGCTGTTTGCTCTCATCATGTCTTGCCCCTGGCTGATTGCAATGACGTCGCTCTCTGGAGCTACAAGAAACTGGCATCTTTTTGCTTTTGCCTCAGCTTTCTCCTGCCTTCTTGCTCTTGCTCCTGGCCCTTCGCGCCCTACGGTGCCTAACGTCCGCTTTCTTTCGTTCCTTTTTCCTATCGGTGCCACCGTTCTCGCGTGCTTTTGCTCCTTGCTCTCTTCGTTTCTCTGCTTCTGTCTCTCTCTGGCTCTTGCTGTTTGCTCTCATCATGTCTTGCCCCTGGCTGATTGTAATGACGTCGCTCTCTGGAGCTACAAGAAACTGGCATCTTTTTGCTTTTGCCGCTGCTTTCTCCTGCCTTCTTGCTCTTGCTCCTGGCCCTTCGCGCCCTACGGTGCCTAACGTCCGCTTTCTTTCGTTCCTTTTTCCTATCGGTGCCACCTCGCGTGCTTTTGCTCCTTGCTCTCTTCGTTTCTCTGCTTCTGTCTCTCTCTGGCTCTTGCTGTTTGCTCTCATCATGTCTTGCCCCTGGCTGATTGTAATGACGTCGCTCTCTGGAGCTACAAGAAACTGGCATCTTTTTGCTTTTGCCTCAGCTTTCTCCGGCCTTCTTGCTCTTGCTCCTGGCCCTTCGCGCCCTACGGTGCCTAACGTCCGCTTTCTTTCGTTCCTTTTTCCTATCGGTGCCACCGTTCTCGCGTGCTTTTGCTCCTTGCTCTCTTCGTTTCTCTGCTTCTGTCTCTCTCTGGCTCTTGCTGTTTGCTCTCATCATGTCTTGCCCCTGGCTGATTGTAATGACGTCGCTCTCTGGAGCTACAAGAAACTGGCATCTTTTTGCTTTTGCCTCAGCTTTCTCCGGCCTTCTTGCTCTTGCTCCTGGCCCTTCGCGCCCTACGGTGCCTAACGTCCGCTTTCTTTCGTTCCTTTTTCCTATCGGTGCCACCGTTCTCGCGTGCTTTTGCTCCTTGCTCTCTTCGTTTCTCTGCTTCTGTCTCTCTCTGGCTCTTGCTGTTTGCTCTCATCATGTCTTGCCCCTGGCTGATTGTAATGACGTCGCTCTCTGGAGCTACAAGAAACTGGCATCTTTTTGCTTTTGCCTCAGCTTTCTCCGGCCTTCTTGCTCTTGCTCCTGGCCCTTCGCGCCCTACGGTGCCTAACGTCCGCTTTCTTTCGTTCCTTTTTCCTATCGGTGCCACCGTTCTCGCGTGCTTTTGCTCCTTGCTCTCTTCGTTTCTCTGCTTCTGTCTCTCTCTGGCTCTTGCTGTTTGCTCTCATCATGTCTTGCCCCTGGCTGATTGTAATGACGTCGCTCTCTGGAGCTACAAGAAACTGGCATCTTTTTGCTTTTGCCGCTGCTTTCTCCTGCCTTCTTGCTCTTGCTCCTGGCCCTTCGCGCCCTCCCAGTCTACGGTGCCTAGCGTTAGATCCGAGCATGGTCCGAGCTTGGCGCGAGACCGTCCCGCACCCGTCGCTTTGCAGAGCTTGAGCGTCGAGGTTTGATGACGCATTTTGTATGGAAAAACATAGCATTTCGCGCCCGCTATCTCTCCAAATGCTACAGCAGAAGTACTTGAAAGCACAGTTATATTGCGGGAACGCAGCCCTCAGTTGCAAAGCACAATGTAATGAGAACTCTCCTCTACATGACTCTCCTGTGCATGACTCTCCTCTACATGACTCTCCTCTACATGACTCTCCTCTACACGACTCCTCTACATGACCTTCCTCTACATGACTCTCCTCAACATGACTCTCCTCTACATGACCCTCCTCGGCAGCATTCAGCCGCATTTGCTTGGCAACACGACACAGCTACCCACGGAAACAAGCAAAAGATGATGTTGAGTCCTTAATTCAGAAGTACGTCTGGCTCGGATATCCCGAGCAACCACTACGAGCCAAGGCGTCCCAGATGCTTCGGCGCACTTGCTGATTGGTACTTCGGTCCAGCATGATACTTGATACTGATACCTCGAATTGCTAGCATTTGATCCTTTAAGCTCTTTGAACTCTGACTGGTACTTTCTTGTTTGGATTCCTTTCGGTTGTTTCGAAATTTATGACACGCGACCAACAGCACGGAAGGGTGGGTTTTCAATCACACTAGTTTAGTTGGAAACAACTACACTGAGGGAAGTCTTTCTTGGTAAAAACTCGTGCCCTAGCGGCTTGCTGTGTTTGGGAAACCCTGGATCAAAGGGTGTAAGCAGGGGGATGGTGGAAGTACGTTCTCTCAGTGCTCATCAGTGACGCCCATAGATCTCTCTCTCTCTCTCTCCCCCCCTCCCCTTCCTATCGATGCAATCTACACAATCAGTCTTGTGCGTGTAGCCTGGCTTGCGTATTCTTGACCGATCGAGATTCTAGTTTGGTTGCACTTGATACCGATACCTTGTATTGCTGCCACTTTGGTGCTTGAAGCCATTTGAAATCTGACCAGCACTATCTTGTTTGCATTCATCCCGGTGTTTCCAACTATATGACATGAGGCCAACAGCACGGAGGAGTGGTTTGCTATAACTAGTTTAATTGGAAACAACTATATTCAGGACACTCTTTCTCGTATGGAAAATCATGCCCTAGCGGCTTGCTGTGTGTGGGAAACCCTGAATCAAAGGGTATAAGCAGGGGGCCCGTGGACGCATAGATTGCACGGGCCAACGGAGACCCATCTATGTCGTCGTGAAAACGTACCTGCAAACTCCCATTGTCAGACATGGCAAGGTGGCCAAGCCAAAAACCACCCATGCCGACATGACATGACATGACATGCTAACGTAATAACATGACATGACATGTATCATTTCATCTCATTTCAGCCTCTCCCTTCGGGGTGTATCCAAGTGTGTGTGTGTGTGCTTCAGGTATCCACATGTGAAGGTCACGAGCTTTTTGATGACATTGGTACTGGTCAATATCGCTAAGACGTTGGCACTGCCAAAATCAGCTGCATTGAAGATTTTGAAGGCTTGAGAGGCTGTTGGTAGCCAATCTTCACTGGGTGTCCAGCATGGTCAGACGGTCAACCCCTTGAGATCTCAACTAGCCAGGTCTACATCACTGCCAGCGACTTTTGGACAAGAAACGTTGCCAAAGGTGCGGCCTGGGCGTTTTTGGTGGCAAAAAGATAGACAAGTAAAATCCTACTCAAATAGTGATTTGATAAAGCACGTTTCAAGTTTTTTTGGTGGTTAGCCTAAGTACTTCCAAGTTTCCAACGTACCTGAATTTGCCGTCATTTCATACAGATACCAAAAGCATTAGAGATGTAATTGCGTTTCCTATGGATGATACCTTTGCGTATGTATATATATATACACACACACTTATTTATTTTTATGTGTATATATATATATGTATGTTTGTGTTTATTGCAACCATAGGCCACAGTCCAATATATTCTTACCCTATACTCCCATGCCCCGAGTCGTGAGGCGCACACGAGTTTCCAACAGCCATCTGAGCCGTTGATGAAGAGCTCGGAGCGGCAAGAGCGGAAAGTGCCTCAGCATGGTGCTTTCGCGGATGGAATATATATTTGCATACAGTTATTGCCATTTACCAGTAGATATAAGTACGAAGAAAACCCCATTTATAGAATGTATAATCCCATTTATAACCACTTATAACTGGTAAATGGCCACAACTGTATAAATGTAAAAAAAAGTAGTTACTAAAGTGAATTATAGCTACCCTCCGCATGGAGAGAGAGAGAGAGAGAGAGAGAGAGACAGAGAGATAGAAATATATATATATAGCTATGCCTTCCTGGTGCTCCTTCTTTTGGTTTTTGCCTGAAACAACATTTAATTATGTTGGTCGTTGCTGGAAAAAAACGTTGCTGCCTCCCAAAAACGTTCTTGCTCCAAACGATCAAGAATAGCCAGGACGAAAGGAAACCAACAAATCTGTTGCAGGTGACAGTGATGCCACAGTTGATCAATTGGAAACAAAGTGGATTGACATGGTTTGGATGGATTGTGAGCCCTCGAATTGCAACCTTTTGTACCATTTGACTGTGATTCGGACATTAGAAAAACCAAAACTATCCAAAACTGGGGTACAGGTAAAAACGTTTTTGTATCAGGAAGAAACGCCTTTGTATTGGTTCGAAGCGCCGTCACCAAAATTGTTTTGCCACGAAGGCCCATCAACGAGCGTTAGATTCACCACAGTGCTGCTGTGGCTCAATGTTTGCTTTAGAAAAAGGTTTGGTGGAGACGTCATTTATTTCCACCCGAAAAGCAAGAAAAGCAATTCTGACAGGAAAAGCAGAAATTAGTAATATGTGAGAAAAACCTTAGGTTTAATATGCGAAAATAATGAAAAAAAACAAATATATATATAATGGTGAATAGTGATATTGAGGTTTCCAAAGTCATGGGGATGCCCCCAGATCATCCAAATCAGACCAAATCAGAGCATAAAACAGTATTGAAACCTATGGTTACTTGGGGATCCCCCATTTCAAGATCCCCCCAAATGACTAGTCATCCTGGAATCACTGGGGGTATAATTGGATACAATGGGATATTCATGGAATGATGATAGTAATAATGGGATAACAATCAATGACTTCACTGCGACATCACTGGGATGATGATTAACATTGGATAGGGATAGCCTGTGACGTTCAAATCACTTTATGTCTGTGAACTTATGTCCAAGTTACCCAGGTAGTCATCCGGAGAAGATGGACAAATTATGGATAATTTTCCATAGGCGATACCAGGTTTATTGACCTGTGTGTTCGCCAGGGCTTTATGGATCACAGGGCCGTTAAGTCTAGTGCGCCAGCGATAAAAGTTATATTCCATCTCTGAGTGATTGTATGAACCTACAATAGTTTTACTTTTCCGTTCGTTAGGTATTGGTCTTATGAACTATATAATGTATGGTAAAATATGAAAGTAAACCAAACAAAACTTGGGGATGCTCGTGAGCAATGGGGATGTATGATGGGTAGTTGAACAATTTAACCATTGGCCATCAACATTGGGGGTTGTCTGCCAAAACAAACTGATAAAATCCGACTAGGTGGAAGAGTCGCCCTTTTGTTTGAGCCACATTTCGCTAGGCACAAGTTGTTCGTTCCTCATGATTTGTCTCAAGTTTTGTTCGGCTGTTACTTTCCCACATTTTTAGGTCACCCTTCAAAACCATCATTAATTCCAAAAAACAACGTTATTTGTTTAATGTTTTTGGTGGCTTTTGTAGCTGAAATTCCAGCTTCAATCTGCATTTGGGGTGTTTGAAATTAGCATATGCCATATCCCCCATGGATTAGAACATTTTAGAACCTCATTGTTGGCATGACATGGAACTTGCAAGTTCCATAAGACAAGGATACACATTATTCCGGTGAATATCTTCATATACCTCTTGTGTCCATGCCCCCATTTGCATCCCAGCATATCTTGCTGAATATTCCTGAAATAAAACAAATTGGGGTACCCCCCCCCAGATAGTGACATGTGTTGCTCATTACATGGGACCCCTGCAATCCAACAACCCAGAGGTTCAGTAGCTCAGTGCTGACATGAAATTTAGTATCACTTGCGACCACAATTTGATCCCGTTGTTCATCCTTATGTCCCACTTCATTGCAAAGTAATTTTAGTGATTTGCACCATGTTTTCTGGTGATATTATCCCATCAAGATCCAATGAAACAGCCCTTCCCGCGTTTTTTGTTCAACGCCTCTAGGTCAAAACCACTGCCGTGATCAGCAACATCAGTGGTAAGGGCTCACCTTTGTTGCCGGCAAGTGGAGCAAGCAGCTGGAGCGAGAGGAAGGTGCGACGGAGGAAGATGGGAGATCTCCCAAACAAAATTCATGGGATTTGGTGAAGCCGCCAATACTGTGGCAAATTATGGCCCGGTATAGCTCAAGCATAAACCATTCGATTCACTAACCATTTGATTGTTGTTTTTGTATATATTTTTTTTTCTACCGGTTTGCCACATTAGCCTAGTTGATGTATACCCTGCATGGTTGCGACAAGCAGTTTGCTTTGCATGATTTAACGATTTTCAAAAACACTGAATCATCTGCAAGAGTGGACCATTTCCATGGCTATGTGAAATTACCAGATGGTATAACTTGGACTAACTTGGTGCATTCTATGCTTTCTAGGGAGTGAAACTATATTGCCAGGTGTTGAGGTTGTCGGTAGCATTCTCCTTGTTGAAATTTCACGGATTTAAAAATTGATTTTTGCCACCAGGATTTTGAACAGAATGCAAACGGAATGTTGACCAACAACCTGGGAACAATGTTGCAATCGTCACAAAGTCACTACCAGGTAGAATCAGCTTAAAATTGATGGATTTTCACCGGCACCAATCAGGCATTAACCAACAGAGTGGATTCTTATCCGACATAATGAATTGCCATCAACCAGCATGGCACCGGATGTCACTTTATCAACAAAGGACAAAAGCTGGATTTGTGAGCCAAGCATTCATAGTGGGTTTTGACAACTTGACAACCTTACAGTAGCCGACCAAACTGTACCAAAGTTGGTAACTATACTAGTTGCTAGTGCATATATACAGTGGGGGGAAACAATAAAAAATGTGTTCGTCTTTGATTTGTAAAAATTGTGAAACACGCAGTTCTTGCCGTAAAGGGTTTGCAACGGGGTTCACTACATGGCAACATTGGCCATGCCAACATGTCATAGAGAGCCCGTTCTGGTCACGCCTTAGGTGAGTGTGTGAGAACGACGGATGGCACGTGAAGGCACCGTGCTGGGTCAAAAGGTTCTAAGCTTCTAATTAATCATTCTAATCAACTGCAGGGATTTTGATTTCCATGTTTTCTTGGCACTTTCTCACTTTCTCAATTCTAATGGGGTTTTACTGAGATCTTTTATGGATGGAAATCACCTGTAACTGGGGAAGTAGCATTCGAGATCCAATCACCTCCGGCATGGGGCATGGGATTTTCCAGACCACTAGCATGCTTTGAGGATGTTTTTGGGACCCCAATGATATCTCAATGATATTAAGAATTGGATCCAAGTGAAAGTTTAAGGGACCAGGGACTGGGTGCCTAAATTTGACTGATACCCTGATCCCATAAAGAAGATCGTGTTGATCAACATTGATCAACCCCTAGCAACAAACACCCCTGGAAAACCATGGTTCAGTATGGTTTAGTCCTAAAATGTCCTAAATATGTACACTGTTTGTCCCATCAAAGAGAGTTTATGAGACTTTAGTATTAGAGCCATAGAATCCAATCCAACGTTGTCTCAGGGTTGCACCTACGCCCCGGTTGCAACAAAAGGATTTGCAAGATGATTACCTAGTCGATATGGTCAATTTGTGGTTTCATGATAAATTCGGGGTGTGTCTGTGTGCATATATATATATTATTTATTTATTTATTTATTTATTTATTTATTTATTTATTTATTTATTTATTTATTTATTTATGTGTGTATGTATATGTGTATGTATATATATATATGTGTATATGTATGTATAGTGTATAATTTATATATAAATGTGCATATTATGTATATGTATATTATATGTATGGTCTATGTTTACCGGTTGCTATGCCAATCAGTCCCTCTCTCAGTAAAATCATCCACTCATTGCCACCGAAAATCGCAGCAAAACAGGTGTTCCCAAGCTTCCATTTGGGGTATGGTTCGCATACCTGGTTATCATGACGGATCATCGGGGGATTCACAACCGTTTGACCCGAGAGATCCTCATCTGGGCGTGAAAATTCACAACGTGCCGTTTCACGATGGAAGCCGGGTGACCTGGGAGATGATGGGATCGAAGAATGGAGGCCATGTTTAGCCATACACGCACCTATCTATAGGCATTCTATAAGCATATATTGCGATATGTGTTTGTTGTTGTTGTTGTTGTAGCTGTAGTTGTTGTGTGGTTGTAATTGTTGTGTAGTGTAGTTGTAGTAGTAGTTGTTGTTGTAGTTGTTGTAGTTGTTGTAGTTGTAGTTGTAGTTGTAGTTGTTGTTGTTGTTGGTGTTGGTGTTGGTGTTGTTGGTGTTGGTGTTGGTGTTGTGGTTGTGGTTGT